GGGGGGGGCTCAGAGACAAGACGCGAGGCCCGATATCTCTGCGACCAATTTATGCGGAACGGTTATCCAAAAGCTTTCATAAACCGATGCCTACGCGTTTGGCCCCGCAGGACCCAAACGGGAGAACCACGGAGGATATGGCACGCTCTGCCATACATCAAGGACGTCTCAGAAGCGACGGAGCGCATCGCTGCGGGACTAGGTGTTGGAAGTGCACGCAGACCCAAAGCTGCCATGCGCAGCAAGGTGTTGAAAATAAAAGACCGGCTTACGCAGAATGAGAAATCTGGAGTAGTGTATCGCATTCCATCAAGGGCAACCGTAGAAGCTAATTAGACAACCGAAACTAGTACGCGTCGAGGTAACTTTACGCATACTCTATTCTACTTCAAATATCAGATCTCACCGGCTGTGGGTTTCCGTATTTTTCCAGCAGTAATCACATAACGTCGTTTCTACCTCTAAAACCTTGTCGATGATGCTAATGTCTTTGGATTGCCGAATAGGTGGGATGTTAGACGCCCACGCATAAATTTCGTCTGCAGACGCTTGACCTCATATAGCTGAGGTGACTAGAACGCCGTTGAAGGTAGGCGGCTTTTTCCAGAACAAAGTCGCCTTCAATTACCTTACCAGCTCTGAGGCTTTGTCCCCCTTAAAAGACGCCAGTCACACAGGCTGTCTTGGTTGAAATTCGGAGGACTGAAAGGCAGAAAAGATCGAAGGGTTGGGCATTGGTCCGTTCACGTATTTTCGGTTAATTCTACTTTTGAATAGGCCTTTTCTTTGTTTTTTTTTCTCCATGTCTCAGAGGTCGGAAACCAAGTCAACAAGTAGCTGTGGCTTCTTGAGTTTACGTTTGATACATCTTATTTTCTAGTGAAAAACATTTTTCATTATTTAGATGAAGCAGAATTAGATATACAATGAAAGGCGAAGTTTTCCAGAGCCAAACTAATATCCTATAATTGGGGGTAGGTAACTCTGTCGGAGGACACTAATGTCCGCGAAGTCTGCAACGCATTGTGTTAAAGGAACGTCCTTTAGCCAAGGATAATGGCTCCTAGTAAAGGCAGATAATAATAATAATAATAGCCATTTTTGGGTTATTAACTGTCGTCAGCTAGTCATACCCAGCGGGGCTAATGGCTCCCATTAGCGGTCCGGGGAACGTCTGTTAATATTCCCGACCTAAAACGACAAGACAAAGAGCTCGTCGCTCAGTGGTTGGGGCGTTTGACTATGATCAGAATGGTCGCGAGTTCGAGGCTTGGGTAGGACACCACTTGGGTGTGGATATGACTGACTGACGACGGCTAATAAGCCCTAAATGGTCATTCCAGTCTCCCTTGTCTTTACTAGTGTGTTAGATGGAGACTGAGGTCATGCGTGACACGCGCAGGCTGGCTGTATTAATCTCTGTCCGCCAGCAATAGTTGGTTTGTCAGTTTCGGTCGGTGGAAAGGGCAGAGAGGGAGAAAGAGAGTGAGGTCGGTTTTTCAGGGTATTTTCCTCCCTAAGGGCACACTATTTGAGGCTCTCAGGGTGCGTTGAAAGCTTCGGCTTGCAATACTGCCAGTCGATAATTGAACCTGGATGTCGTAGTTGACCTAGTGCGTGTGTTTATGTTTGTGTGGAGTGGCTGACTCGTGGACTGATCCATTCTGGTGTGGCGACCGGTTTCAATGCGGATTTCCGTCGCGTCATCCACCCACTCACAGCCCCTACCATCTCCGGTTTTCTGACTCGTCATGACACTGGTTGCATGAGACAAGAGAGTGCGATAGATGCTGCGCTTTAGTATTGCCACGTACTTTTAGCAGCAGTATCTGAGTCCTCGTAGTCCAGATCTAGTAGAAGCAACCGAACCCTGGTGGATAGAGTTAAGAGGACGGAAACAAATGGAGGCCCGGATGTGCTCCGGACTTCAAACACGTATTTACTTGGAATAGCATAAGCCCAGATTCACACTCTTTCTTGAGATCAAGGGGTCTGAGCCCCAGCACTGGTTTCTTTTAATCAGCGTCACCTCCGACTGATATCAGGGCCAGAAATAGCACCAGTACTACTAACACGCAGTCTCGTCTTCCTTGAGCCTGTAGCGACCTTGCACTTCTTAGCCATGCTGTCTTCGGACGCCGCGGGGACAGGTCATGTCTGGCATGACCACCGCGCGTGCGCAAGAGACGATATCAAAACCTCCGTTCAAGGTCACCCCCTGTCTGGCCTCACTGGCTAACCACAACTCAAGGCCAGGAGCTTACTGCGGGGGAGTTGTTTACGCTCAGCCACTCCCAGAACCGACGATCTACTGTTCGGTTGAAGTTTTCCGGACCCGGTGATCTACTTGCCGGGCTGCGCCTCTGGACTCCGGCCCATTCATGGCTGGACTGCACTTGTCTGAGAGTCACTTACCTATTACTTACATTCTACTCCTGTTACACCTTATTAAATTATCTCTAACACTCTGGCATTCCACGCCTTATATTATGTATTAGCTTATAACTAGTGGCATACGTTCTGCCTTCTATTATCCAACCGGATTACTTCGTATCCTACATTTGTATTGGCAATTTGATTCTGTCTTCATTCATTTGCCTGTACTTTATGTACGCTCTTTCTGATTCATGTGAAAAATAGGGAGTAAAACAGCGTAAGTCCATTTCTATCAACTACACTGACTGATTGACTGACAAGAGCAACATCAGCTAGGGTACTATGATTTGCTTTATATGCAAATTGCAAGAGCACAGGAAAATTGGAAGGAAATGGCGTGATAATGTCTAAAACTGAAGGTATGTGGGGGCAGTCAGTGCGATATTACTCGCGCAAGGTCTACTGTCCCTTAAGACTAAGTTAGGCGGTGTTTCTGGTCTGCATTGGAAAAAGTGGCCAATTCTGGATCCCGTTTGGTCTTCTTGAGCCTGGGTGAAAGTGGAGAGTGCAGTTGACGCTAACTACGTCTGTTATCACTTAAATATCTACTCTCTGGCCTCCAGTCTCCTTCCTGCACCAACCTTTTTGGTGCATATAGTGGACTTCATCAAAATCCATGGTTGAACACACACACGGAGTGGCTGACTGGTGGACTGGCAGCCAGGCTGCAATGACCTCTATGACACTCCCAGCCGTTGATACGTGATTAGTAGGCATATCAAGCATTCGTGGAAGCTGAAATGGTTGTCGGGAGATGCAGGCATTTGGCGCGACCGGAGCCGTACCTGAGCGTG